ACATTACTAAAAATGTAGTTTATAACTGGTGTACTTTAAAAACTCATTCAATCTTTGGAATAACCAAATCCACCAAAAAACTTAGCGCATGGAAATTTTGTAACTCAAAAGTTTACGTAAATTTAAAATATTCTATGAGCTAGTTTTATTTGGAAAATTTTGTCATCCTATATGGCTCAAACTAATCCAGAAAGTAACTACTATAACAATTAGGATTGTCAGTATAGTCTTTCCTTAACAATGAGAAAGAAAAGTCTGCTGATGAGCAACTTTAAATTTTCTTATAATTTTAAGAATCTATTAGTTACAAGTTTTTGGTATTTTAGTGCAAAATGTACAATGATAGTACTTAGTTTATGACTCTAAGCCATTGTTTTTAGTAGTAAGAGTAAGTGAAGGTAAGCGAGAAGCAAGCGGCGGCCTAGCCAGCCAACCAGGCGGGCCGGGGGCGCCGGGCTCGTCGCGTACCGCTGAATTTGCCATAGGGCGCTGAATCGCGCAGGGAATGTTTATACGCGTCCCGGAGGTCATATCGCAGACGTGCCCGCCTTCGCGCCCACCTTTGCGGGTTCGCGGCCACTACCCCCCGGCACAAGGCGGGCAGGGGCTCTGCACATACGCGCACGAGCAAGGGCTGCTCGTTCAGCACTTCACATTATTTTTTATAATACCGATTGGGGGAGGGGTGGGGGTGGGGGGGGTGCTTGACTATCAGGTCCGCCTCGGTGGCGGGATGGCGGAGGTTGTAAGCGGATCTGGCCTAATTTGGGCATCACGTAATAAAAGGGCCCTCCAACAGGGCGTATCCGCATGGGTTTGTTTTCCTTTGCCCCCACAGAAGTGGTATATCAAATAAATAATAGGCTTAACGCGCGAAAATTGAACGCCAATGGGAAGGTTCTTCTGAAACCTTGGCACATTTCTTATTTGAAGATTGACACATTTCTCACCTCATTTAATGTATTTATTTTTTCCCGGCATCGAAATCAACTTGATGCGAGCGAGTGACATTGCCCCGCTCGTCACGCGGAAATTCCGTGGAAGGTGGACACGGCGCGGCGCGGCGCGGGGCGGGGCGGGCCGGGGCGGCGGGCGGGAGCACAGTGGCAAGGTGGCGCGGGGCAGGGTGGGGCTGGAGGTGGGCCGAGGGGCTTGTCCCGCAAAAGCCCCAGAGGGGTGGTGGGGTAGGATGGAGGGAACTCAACGAATATGTAGATATTAATTATCGCCTCTGGGTTGAAAGGGCGACCAGCTCCGACAATAACAGGTTGTTAGAATAATGATGGACTTCTGAAACCTTTCATTTTTTTTTTCAGAAAGCCAAATAAAGAAAAAGGCAATATTTTCCCCAACATTAATGTGTTTAGCTTTGCTTATGTAGCCAAGTGAAAGAAGTGTACTGAAAATTTCAAATTATCTTTGTATTTGTCTTCCTGTGTCAGTGACAGTGGAGCATGTTGACAGAAATGTCATCAGTTCAGTTCATTCAAAAATTCATGACAAAGAAGAGGGGGGAAAGTCGGAAATTAACAAAGTTACAGAAATATGAATTTCTCATTGGTCTGATACGAGCTTCACACAGTGACAAAACTGCACAAATCTAGTGGCAATAAAATAACCACAACAAACGGGAAGGTTAGAAACACAGGTATCAAACTTCAACTCGTTTGACAGATCGGGGACGTTACCAACGCCATGCGACGAACCAATACGATAACCAACATTTTTCGACGTCCCAAGAAATATACTCATCTACACTCTAACACATTTGCCCGACATCAGAATAAACATTAAATGAACAAAATGAGAGACTTACCAAATGAAATCTTTGCAGTGGCTGCAGAAGGTGGGTTGTTTGAAGAACCGTGGAATAAACTTGTGATCTTTCACGTTGTACACATTTTTCTTCTTGAGAGCACCTTTGCGTCCGCGAAGTCGCAGGGCAAATTTTGTGGTCATGTCCCCCGCGCCGGGGGCATCATCTTGAACGTTTTCCTCGTCTGCCATCCTTCACACACAGTTGACAGCTCTGCAAGCCGAGAGCTCAACTGCTGCACTGCCGTGTACAACGAAGCCCTTCTCTCAATAACAAACCAAGTTCAAAATAGAAATTCAGCCAAGGCAGTATCTTCTGCTAGTCTTCTTTTTCTCGCCTTGCTTTTTCTGACAGTAAGTAGCTGGGCACGAAGCGGCCAGGGTCCTTTTGGTAATCTGACCGCTAAATGACCAGATATTTCCGCAGAGTTTAAAACGTACCGATAGTTTCACAATGCCACTTTTTTGTACTTTTATATCTTTTGAACTCCAACTGTGAGCGAAATATGATGTAAATTTAAAGAAAAGTATCCAAAGAAAGTGTGGGCGTTGTTTCTTCGAAGTACCAATAGGTGGCGCCACCATGCAGACAAACGTCGGCCTCGTCGGCGCAACGAACAACGAACGCAACGCGACGCCTCGCCGACCCCCCACGCCCTTCTCCTTCCTAGTCGCTGGCTCGCGACTCAGTTGGAACGAGCGAAATGGCTCTTGTGGTCGTGGAATATTCTTCTGTCGAAGTGATTTGCTTTTGGAAATCATCAGGAACCGTACCGTCCCGAGTTAAGCGAAGGTATGTGTCTTTTATCATTTTGCATCGATCTGTGAAAGTTTTTAGGGTGTAGCGCGTTCTCAGAGAGAGAAATTTGGGAAATTCTGATCGCCTTGTGGTGAGGGGGCTGGTAGGCGAGTCCGACTGTCATGGCGGACCTATGAAACGTTTCGATTTCGTCCTGTTAACGAAAACTCAACGATCAGAGAATTGCAACGTATTGCACCATAGACAAAGAAATCAAATGATACCGTATAATTTTATGTAGGTACTAGTTTTATATCGTATGCTGTCATTTTACATTTAAGCGGTATTCTCGTTTTATTTGGCAAAATTCTGATGAACTCTGTTACCAAGTGACTCAAGATCCATCAAATCTCACGATTTTCTTAAAATTTTCTCTAAATTATCCGTTTTGGTGTTTGCTAAACGGAGTTATTATTCTGAATCATTTTTAATTGCTCTTTCACATTTTTCCTCATTTGGCTTCCTACACATAATTTTTAACTTAACAATAATAATTATATATTTTTGGGAATTAAGGAAATTTTTAGTCTAGTTTTGAAATTTTATTAATTACTGATACTTTGATTATTTTGCATAAATTTAAATTCCTATTTTATAAGGGTCAAGATTTAAGCACAAGGGATATTAGACTGGGAAATAACTTTGTTTCTTTTTTTTAAATATGTATTAAATTTTCCTTTTTCTTCTGTTGCAGATCTTGCGAACGTTGAGTAGTGCGAAGTGTATCGGAACTTTCGTGTCATGCTGGAAGAAAATCCTAAAATGGTGTGTGAAGTTGGCCCTGTGCGCACAACGTGGGAATCTAGGGAGAGGAGAAAACGCCATCGTCGAGGGAAGAAGCGGCACTCAGGCAGAACCTTGGCGGTGCACCCGCCTGACCTGCATTTGAGTAAGTCTGGCGGGGAAAGGGGAACTGATGAGGACTCATTTGAGTCAGGGTCAGAGATGAGTCTTTTGGGTTCTCTTACCCCCAAACATGTAGGCAACCATCGTCCCTCTCAGCCATCTTTAAGACCTGTCATCGTCCCCAAAGCCCCTGAGAACTCCACACAGTTCTTGATTGACGATCACGAAGATTCCACCCAATTCTTTAATTTTGAGGACAGTTATAAGTCACCAACTTGGTGTGGGCCTATGGATGATCCTGATGCCTACTTTCCTGCTGATTGTAATGAAGATGAGGATGCGTTCAGTCAAATGTATTACATGCGAGATTTTGAGTCGGAGTACCAAAGTGCTAGGGAAGAAGTGCTGTTGGATTGGAGTAGAGAAAGACTATTTGAAGAAATACAAAAATTGGAGAGGAAGGCTCGGACATATGAAGAACTTCTCAGCATGCAAGACCCATACAAAACCCTTGCAAGTCTTCAAGAGCAACTTATTCATCTTCAAGAAGAGAACAGGCAGTTGCAAGCTGCACTGAGATCAGATCGCAGTAGCAGTAATTCTACTTCTGACGAAGAGGTCAGTCCTTGCAGACGTCAGCGTGCTGATACAGCGTCAGATCTGGTCATGGTCGTTGCTCCTCTGTCTCTTCAAGATGGATCTTTCAAAGATCAAAGTCAATCTTTAATTGAGACTCACCACTGTGCAGTGTCAGAGGTGGAATCCTAATATTTCATCTTCCAGTGCTTGATGAAATGTTAAGGCAAGTGTTGAACAATGTACTGCTCTTGTGTATAGTATGCTGAAAGCAAATGCAGACAGCCTTAACAAAATGACTGCAATGTGATATTCATTCTGTACACTGCAATGAACAAAAGATGACGCTTATTATCTTGATAAATGTACATAGCGGTACCTAAAATGAATGAAAAAAATGGTCTCATTGTTGAAACTTTGGAGTGGCTCACATTCATTCAATGATTTTTACCAATTACACCTGTGATTCTTATTAGTTATCTGACATATGTGAACATACTTAGTAGGATAGCTGTATTTTATTTTCAGTGTATATATATGTTAAGAAAAATTGAATATTTTGTTCTAGTGCACCTAATTATATAGCTTGTTTAGATTATCAAAAATCTGCTGTGCCCTCTGCTTGATTTGTGCTTATTTGAGCCTAAACATAAAGACAAGATATTTCTTTTGTTGTATCCTGAGCTGATCTGCAGATGAGGAGGTTCTGAAACTCATCTCATAATAATTTGCCATGACCTGTTTTTTTCCTCCTTGTTTTAACGTGTTAGTTTCATGTAATATTTTGATTTAAAAGCAAAGTTAAGTTTCATTACTTGTCTTCAATTACAAAATTTGGAATTTCATCAACTTAGCTTTCATGTCGAATAACTTCAAGCCAAAAATAAAAAAAAGAACCTTTGATTTCAGTATTGACAATAACATGTAAGATTGGCCATATTCTGTTAGTCAGTTTACATATTACATTATAATGTGAAGAGACTGATCATTGTAAATTATTTATTTATTTTTCAAAACAAAACCTACAAAAAAAAAAAATGATTTGCAAGAATGTACCTGTGTAACAGTTATGTACTTGTATGGAAATCATGCTAAATTTCTCATGACTTTTGTGGTTGTGTGCGCTGTCAAAGTTGTGAAGTGCCGGCAAACCTGCATTTAAAATTTTATTCTATCTTCTTTGATCTGCAACTTTCAATTTGTTTCCTTAGGGTAGGAGTTGTCCTGTAGTATTTTAATTAAAATGGAAGATTGGTGGTCTGTGATGCAGTAGTCTTAGTTTTAGTCCTTACCTTCTTCATTTATATATTTAATTGGCTATAATTCTATTGCTGTGGACATTACCATGTTTTTCATACCAAATTCTACCTGTACCGCCTGTCTTTAATTATTTTAAATTCATGAAAGGTTTCGAAGTTTTCCGTTCCCAGGCATTGATGATAGAAATAAGTGAAGATGCTAGCACTTACAGCATATTTTGTTGTGAAAATTGTCTACACTTGTTTCTTGCTGTTTCTTATAGGTTTACTGAGTATAAAATTTTGTTTCTACATGTTTGTTAAGCACAGATGTTTTAAATCCCAGTGTGCTTTTGATTTCTGTGCATTTATGATCTTTGTGGAGTATATCCTTCAGACTTTTGAATGAGAGTGTATCACCTTTTATTACCTTTGTTTTAATTTTAGAAGCTTTTCTTAACCCTCAATTACAAATTACTTTGCATCACATTTTCTTTTGCAGCATTAATCATACCAAATTGATGTTAGAAATGCATGTCACTATTGAACTTTATGGCCCCATACCTTTAGTTTATGTTTGCATGTTGGATGGACAGCTACCAGTAATACGAACTGCGTTCTTTACGAGTGTCGTCTATTCAGGGTTTTAGATAGGTGGGTAAATGAGTGATATAGCACAAAATTCTTCTTGTCATCTTCACAAAACAATTTGTGGCATGTGTTTATCTGTGGTAGTGTTCTGGGTTTGCGTTCTCTATCTTCCTCTGTTCTTTCATATTTGATCTTTCTCAGTGATAAATTGGACTTTGTTACCCCATCTTAAAAAGTTTAATGTGCAAAAAGCGGTGTACATAATTTGTATAAATATAAGTGAAAGGATACATGTTACATACATATTGTTTGGGTAAGGACTATGTTATTTAGATTTGGATCCCTATATTTTAAGTGTGAGACCTTTTAATAATAAACATAGATGTGTTCAGTGGATGCTTTTTGATTAAACCCCGCTTTTTCTTTAAGCTAGGGGCTGCCATTAGAAGTTCAAAAAAAATGAGATTATGGCACTTCAAAAACGAAATATAATAAAAGTTATTGTGGTTAAAAATTATAGGATGGGTAATGTTTGTGACAATTCGTGTGACAAAGGAATGTCAGTTTTCTTTGTGAACAATTTCATCAAGAAGATTCACAAATGTTTGGCATCTCAAAATACATTTCATGAGTTTCCATCGTAATACGCACAAGACACTAACACTTATACACTCGCCATCACGCCAAAATGCGATTCCCTTGGTTACTTTGGGGGTCTTGTAGGAGTTATTCTTCTTTTATACATTTTTTGTTTGTTGTGTCCTGCTTGAGACTGGTGACTGGTGGACATAATCTAGGGGTCGGGCTCCGGCTAGCTGTTCGGTTCGCGATGCTCGGAAAGAGAAACCGTCCATCGTGAGAAACGGGAGCGACAGAGACAAAAGACGCCCCTCCTCCCCCCCCTCCTCCCACCGGCCGCCCTGCTCCGGAACGCGCCGCCCAAGTCGGTCGAGCGTAAGCTGGCCCTGCCTGAGAGACGGGGCAGCGCCTCGGCGGTCGGCCCAGCGTACTCCGCACGGACTGTGCAGGGTGCGTGCGGCCGTTGGCAACCAACAAACATGCGGCTGGGGGGGGGGGCGCACGAGCAGGCACGAGCCGGACCCGGCAGGAGGGGCAGAGCATAGAGATCTCTGTGCGCTCGCCTCGCCGGCTGGAGCTTCGCAGTTCGCTCTAACAAAGCTTGGCGTGTTCGCGTTCAGCTTCGCCCGCTTTACTGCTGCTCTACCCCCACCCCGCTCCCGACCGGTGCTTACGCTGAAGCGACTTGAGAGACGGCGGGGAGCGAAAAACACGGGCGTGTGCAACACAGGTTAATTACATGGATATGGCTGGTGCCGTGGAGCCCTAGACAGGCGTTGCGCCACGGGCTGCCACGGTACGGCGGGGAGGGGCGGGCGGCGCGGTGACGGTCACGGCCGCCCACTGGCATACTGGCGGGCCTGGCGGGCCTCCGCCCCGCGCCAATACACCCGATACCTGCCGCCTGCCCTGCCCCTGTGCGAACACGCCCAAGGAAACTCGCGCGCCCAAGAGTATTCATTTCCCATTTCTTTCAGTGGTTGAAAAAATAAAGTTTATCCGTGGTAATTAGCCGAACTGGGGTTAATGGTTACCACTTGGTCTAGGCCTGAAATGTCTTTTAAAGTAGACCTGGCTTCCCCAAGCCGCAGGTGCCAGGAAGTTGTACTTCGGAACCCGAGTCAGAATATGAGGCCACATTTTGGTCACGTATGGCTATGTATACGCGCGAGTGTGTGATTCAATGATTCTTCGCTCCGCAATGGCCAAGAATTGGTCTATCAGAATAATGGGCGAAATGTCACAAATTCTGTGCTTGATCGGATGAGCACAATTTTTTCTCACTCATTTTGGGCAGGAAACCTCAACCAAGGCAGGGTTTGCTGAAGGTTGCTACGTGTACCGGGTGGCTGATAAACCCCGCTCACTGTAGTTATGCAGTACCGCACGCACGGGTGCGGACGGGTTGCCTATTGGCTCAGCCCGCAAGTGGACAGGGGCGGTGGGCAATCCCACTCACGCGTCCGATTGAGCGAGGTCAATCAGCCACCTGATACAGAGGCCTGCGTCAAGAGAGGCATTTCCGTTTTTGCGATTTGAAATGGACTCGTGACCACATGGTGGTCACGTCGAGGGCGGGCCGCTTGCCCGGCGTTGGTGGCTTTGGTCGCGTGGCGGAAGCGCGGCGGGCTGGGCTGGTGGCTGACGTGCGCGGCCCCACGGAGCGACGCACGCCCAGGACGCCTCCGGATAGCGCACCCTCCCTCGCCTCCGCTGCGCCTTTCGGACGTGCCTCGTCCCGTGCCGTGCCGACGTGGCTGTACGACTCCGAGCCGTTCAAACGATTTTGACGGGTCTTCCCTCGTTGCGGATCGATCGCTCGCCTTCGGGGGGCGCAGTATAGCCAACGCCGCCGGTCCGCCCGCCCTTTAGGGCCCTTGCCCATAAAGCGCGCGGGCGCGTCCGAGTGCACGGGGGGCACTTGATGGCTTTCACCAGGAGGGGCTTTGCGAGTGTCAGTTTACTCCACTCACAGCCTCGCGCACCCGGCAGATAGCACCTTGCCCTGGTGATGTCATGTTGATATGGGGCTGTGGGCTGTGGGCGGGCAGGCGCAGTCAGTTTTTTTAGGGAAAACGAAGGGGGGGGGGGGTCACCCCACCCCCTCTCCCTCAGTTAGCCCTAAGAAACAGCCTGGGAGGCGGGCAATGCGCCGTACAAAACTCCTGTGTCTAGGCCCCAAAACTCTGCCTGGGCCGCGAGGGAGGACTTCCCTCCTCTCCTCGCTGGTCGTTGTTTACGTCCGAGAGCCGTCCTTGCGAAATGTTTGGGCCGAATCGTCCGAGTTTGCCCCCACCTTGGCGGCACGGTCGCGGTGTTTTTGTTTGTCTTCCTTTCTCATTACTAAACGTGGCTGTGGCGGGACTTGAACCCGTGCCAGCTTGGGCCAGAGGCGTGCCCCGGCCCCGTGGTGCAGCAGGCTGCAACTGTAAGCGGCGGCAAGGTGGCGCTGCAGCGGGGGGGCTCTGGCGGGCCTGACGGGCCGTGGCGTTCCCTTCCCCTCGCCGCACCTCCCCCTCGGCGGGGACGTTGCCACGGGAACGGGGCGTGGCGAGGCGTGGCGACTTGTAAGCCTCTCGTCTAGGGGGCTCGTCTAGTTCTAGGAGAAAGCGAAGAGACGCGCTGGGCTCGTTGAGGCGGGTCAGGTCGAAACGTTTGCCCCGCCACGCGCGCGCCCTTTTTACCGACGTAACGTTTGATTGGTTTATTGAGCGCGTCGTCGACATGGAACGTTGGAGAAACGTTTTCGTTTGGTATCGGCGCGGGCCGACCGCGTCTTGCTTGTAGGCTGGTGTAGGTGTAGGTACACACTGTGAATCCGGGGTGTCCAGCAGGTAGGCGACAAAGTCGCCTCACCCGTAAAACCAGGCGATCTATAGATTTCTGCTATTCTGACTTATCTGTTCTTCCGGGTAATTGCATTGTACGAGTCCATAGGCATTCCACCCATTGTGCCCATGCAAAGAACCAGAAGGTGTCCAGCAGATAGTCGACGTAAAGTCGACTACCCCAGAAGCGCTACTGCATTAAGGGGGGATCCTAGTGTAGCGTCTCAAAAACAAGGGTAATTTTAGGAATTATTTTAAAAAAAACTATAGCTCTTATCAAACTGTACAAAACACCGTTTAAAAGATGGCAGTTTCATCTACAAAACTAAAGTAAAAACGTCCTGATCGCTTGAAAACTGCGGCGACACGCCCTGGTGGAAGATGGCGTGTCACAGGTGTTGCGCTATGCTGGCCGTACACTTTCCCACGGACTGGTGCGTCTAAAACAGTCGTACGAAACGGTGTTTTGTTCAGGAGGAACCTGGCTATGGTCGGTACTAGGATCTTTACGATAAAATTATTTTTAGTATTTTTTTGAGTAAGTCAAACTTTTAGTACTGAAGTTGAGGTAAAAATTTTCAATGTTTTAATTTATTTTTAATATGAAGGGCACCTCCGATCCCAGATCTTCTAGTACCGACCATAGCCAGGTTCCCCCCGAACAAAACACCGTTTCGTACGACTGTTTTAGACGCACCAGTCCGTGGGAAAGTGTACGGCCAGCATAAAACTACATGCTCCCTTGTAGCAGGCCGTGTCGCCACAACTTTGAAGATACTGAGACGCTTGTTTTTGCATTTTTTGCATTAAAGTGCCATCTATTAAACCATGTCCTCAAATTTTCGATACGAGCTACAGTATTTTAAATACAAAATTCGCAAAATAAGCATTGTTTTTGAGCCGCTACACTAGGATCCCCCCTTAATGCGCTTCAATGCGCATTGAAATGCACATTAAAGGTCACACCTTGGTGACGCATTAAATGCGCATTACAGCGTAATGCGCACTAAATGCGCATTAAATGCTGTAATGCGCATTTAATGCGTCACCAAGGTGTGACCTTTAATGTGCATTTCAATGCGCATTGAGCGCATTTAATGCGGTTGGCGCTGGGGTAGTTTTGCGGGTCAGGCGATTTTGTCGCCGACCTGGCTGGACACCCGGGATTTACAGAGTAATGAGCGGCGCGGTAGCCTTCTGTAATATTTACGAATCCGTAGGAATGGGGGCGCGTTGACGTGTACGTCGCCATAGCGATGTAATGATGTCAATCATTCAATTATTGTCGGATCGTGTGACAGACCTTGGCCTATCAAAGTCACGCTCCGTTGTACGATCTTTATAGCTGTGCGTTTGCGTCGTTCACTGAGCGAATGACCAGCACAAAGAGATTCGCGCGGTCGCCAAATCGCAACTTTTACTTTCCGCTTATTTTGCACCGTTTTCGCTGGTAGAAGCAGCGAAAACCTTCGATACCTCGCCACGTACCGCCGTGGCGAATTAGTCGGCCCACCCCTCCCGTGGTGGTTATATATCCGGTTTGCGAATTTCCTCTGCGAGTAAGCGGTTGGCCTCCGTGCGTTCCGCGACAGGTCTGCAGCACAAGCCAGCAGAGGAGGGGCTCGCCCCAAAATGAAAACTAACACTGTCCAAAAAACAAAAGTCCCGAAAAGTTAAACGGAACTAGTGTGACATTTTCTCAAGCAGTTATGTATGCGTAGTTTCCAGTTTCCGCGTGCGATTGAATGCAAAGACATAGTATGGGATAGCATTTTACACTTTTGGGGGGAGGGAGACACGAACGTCAGCAAATGGGTCGAGGTTCAGTTCAGTGAGGCTTGCATACGCACAGGTGTTCGTTGTGGCAGACCAGCCACTGTACTAAAATTCATTTCGTAAAAAAAAAGAGAGAAAAAAAAATAAAAAAATTGGAGAAAGAGAACTTTATTCTTATTTATGCTCACCTAAGAAAACATATTTTAAA